GAAGTTACAAATTATTTGAGTTGAAATTGAGCCACCCTGAATGCACTTCTTTACAATCGGATACCTAGGTTTCATATGTGTTTTTGTGAAGTATACTTCAAAACGTATTTTGCCAACTTAAGTTTGAATTCCATATTCTTTTCATTTTGTATTTGTCTCATGCTACAATAACGATTACCTACCAGGTGAAGTTGCAATTGGTGTTTCTGTTTTTGTGAATTCTTGAGAAGCAATGGTTTATACACTTCGAGAACGGATTGAAATAGTGAGTTTGCATTACCAGAATGGAAATAGTGCTAGAGCTGCTGCCCGTATGTTCAATGATAATCATCCAGGCAGAAATGTACGACACAAATACGTTCCGGAATTATTGAACAAATTTATGGAAACTGGATCTGTTAACAATAAAAAGCATAACCCTTTAGGAGTTGTCAACGATGAATCTATTTGTACTGCAGTTTTAGGGCACGAAAATTCGTAATCTCCTACTGACTTATCTCAAAAATCAGGAATCAGTCGTATAAATGTTTTCAGGATCCTTCATAAGTACAAATTTCATCCATATAAGATTAGACTTGTTCATGAATTGAACGAAGATGATTTCGATAAACGTATCGAGTTTTGTGAAAGTCTCACTGAACGGATCAACTTGCATCAGAATTTCTTGTATAAAATTTATTTTTTAGAGGAATGTATGTGTGAATCGAGAGGTGAATCGGTAAAATTGTCGATATTGAAGTGATACGAATCCTCATTTATACCATCGATTTCATACCCAACGACCTCAAAAACTGAATATTTGGGTAGGAATTTTAGGTGACCACATCATAGGATTTTTTCATCGATGATAGTTTGACTAGTGATAAATATTTGGATATAATGGAGAATCGAATAATACATCAATAGGGCAATTGAGGAGGATATAAATTTATTCCAAAACGAAATAATTTTTCAGCAGGATGGTGCACCTCCTTATAATCCAGCTCCAGTGCGATAATTTTCAGATGATCATTTTCCTGGTCACTGCATTGGCAGAAGAGGTCTTACAGAATGGCCACCAAGGTTTTCGGATCTCTGTTGATTCCTTTCTATGGGGTCATTTGAAGTCTGAAGTGTATGAGATAGAATCAACAATACCAGAAGATTTGAGAGAGAATATCTTGAGGTATTGCAGAGAAATAGCTCTCGAGATTCTCAATCATGTGAGTGCGGCAATGGAAGCTCGTTTGTATCCTTGAATGGAAGTTGGTGGACACGTTTTTGAACATTCACTATAGATTTTTTTTCTTCTTATTGTCCAGTCATCAGATTTTGATTCAACAAATAATATTTATTGCTTCCATATTTGTCTCTAGAACGAATATTTCAAAATGTAGCCTCCTGTTTTTTACTTTTCCTGCAAGTCATTGTTTCAAAAGTTATTCAGGGTGGCTCGTATTCAACTCAAATAATTTGTAGCTTCCGAACCATGAGCTTCAGACCATACGTTTTATACTTTACTGAAATCTGCTTATCATGGAGAATCTGATAATGCGAAACAATATAGAGGGATGCTTTTAAAAAAATTGGTGACATGCTCTGGGGGTGCGATAAGGAAACTAACATCAGATGTGAATATGTCAAAATGTGTCCCCCTCTATACTGTTGTTGACGTTTTTTTTTCACTTTTCCTAAAAATCATCAGGAGATAACTGATGATGCTGAGTATTGATATGTTACTTGGGGGGGTTTCACCCTCTTTCCAGTAGACTCTCAGTTTTTCGGTTCAGGGCTACTAAAACCGTCATTTCAATTTATTTCAAGTCCCCACACGTTGCATATCACTACACCAAACAGGCTGAGTGTGCCATTGTTCAACATGTTGGCAGCTTCTTTAAACTTCCTTCTGAACCAGTGAACTGTAAATGGTATAGATGACTCATTCAATAAGATATCGAACTAATCATAACCATGCACAAACAAAGTATTGAACGAATCCAGGATCTGAACTAGATGGCAAAAAAACCATTGCAGAGAATAAGGAATGATGACCATTCAAAGTAATTTTCGTCAATGTGAAATGCAATGTAAACCACCAGTGAACCACATGTTGTACAATTATACTGGTATACACTAATCAAAAACTTCACTGTTGCCAAAAAATAATTTAAAATACCTTCAAGTAGAATGACTCAAAAAGTTCAAGTAGGAAAAGTAAATCCGAGCTCCTCGGAGAAATCACATTCATGACAATGCAAAACCGACATCATCTTCATCTTTATTTCAAAAACAAACTCGATTTTCCAGGTTTTTCTCTGTTCACTCTTGGTCATTATCATTTTGAACTCATAATTGTCATTTGTCTTATAGAGTTTAGAAATATTGTGAAATAATACTATATCATTACTATATCATTCTAGTCAATTTTTTTATGCCTTAAACAGAACCATAAGTTTTTTCTTCCTAAATTTTGAGTTATATAATACACTAGTGGAATAAACATGATGTATCAGCAATAGAATGATTACCAGAGATTGTAACCACTGATTTGAAATGAATTTTATTATAGTTACAATGAGTTATGTTTTTGCTGACAGAACGTTCCTTTGGATAACTATTTGGCTAATGTTTTTCATTTGAACAATGCGTTTGATACATATGACCTTCGTGATTGGTATCGTAAATTCACAGTTACGCAAAGTTATATAACACCCAAATTGACATCGTATTTTCTGCTGCACAGAATTTTAATATACTGTCCACCTGGCTTCTAATCCAGACAGAACTCATCTGGAATTCCACGAGCATACAAGAAATAACGCATGCCGTGTTTATTTTGCATAAGCTGCAAAATATAGGAGTGGTCACCATATACATTACAATATTGTTGCAAATATTTGGTTGAAAAATAATTTTGCCATTTTTATAACCTAATCGTATTTTTCTGAAAATAAAACTCAGTCCTGAACATCTTCACTTTTTCACAAAAATCAAATTTTTATTATATATTGTACACCTAATGTTGTAACATCACCATTCGTTCCAGAAAAAGGATGACCACTGCCATCCGAAATTCTCGGAAATTGCTTCACTATATCAGAAAACCATCTCATAAACGAACAACATAAGGCAATTATTCACATTAATTGATTCCTTCAGAAAACAAGCGATAAAACACTAAGGGATGATTTCATTATGTTATTAATTATACCTAACTTATACGGTGCAGACGTAAACATTCATCCCTCTCAAATTTTGAATGGGGCAAGAAATCAAAGATAGACAAAATGTCTATGAAAAGGACTCATTCTCAGTACTTTTTGATAGAAAAGCCGCAATTTTTTTTTCAAATAGAAAGAAGAGTAATGTGACCCTTTGCTCGCAGAAATCGCGAGAATAAATCAGGCTGAATTTGACCGATGGCATGGGTTATTTTGACTTTGAGGACCATTATGGTGTGCAGCTAATTCGCATACAACTGCGACTTAAGAAAACTTCACAAAAAAAAGTTTAACGGGTTCAAATCCCACGATCTTGGTAGCCAGTTCACATCACCTCCACGTGAGATGATCATGCCCTCAAATTGATCGTGCATAATATCCAATGCGGCATGAGCTGAGTGGCACGTAGCGCCGTCCTGTTGAAACTACATAGGTTAGGTTAGGTCAAAAGTGAGTGAATCAATTCAACCTCCACCGCAACCAGCAGGGGTTTATTGTGGTTCACACTTATTAACACTCGACCAAATAAATTCAGTTTTGCAACGAAGCCAATTTGTTTGTATGCTGTGTGGTTTCTTTCAGGTCAGATGGTACGAGTACGGCTATGTCAAACTCTGAAAATCTGCTAGTGAACCTGGAAGTGACATCAAGATTTGTCTGTTGGATTTCGTGAAGAATTTGGAATAGTGCCGTACAGAAATACATTGATTCTATACTGTGTGCAGACACCAAAAATTGTATTTTATCACATGAAGTTCTCAAATAGCATTTTATTGTGGGATTTTCACTGAACAGTTTACAAAACCGCAATACGTGTTTCGCTATGCAATAGCTTCCTCAGGTGTGTTTAGTCAGTCATTTTTGTGAATTTTGGGCCTTGATTAGTGTAATATATTTAATAATTCGGGAGGAAAAATACGCAGCTTGGATTTATCCTTTTTATTGTTTCGCCAGAGAATTGGAACTGCCAACAACCTATATTTTTTTACAAAATTCCCTTATCCTAAAAAAGTCATGTATAAAAACTGCTCGACACTTCTTCCTTTAAATACATATAAAAAGTTATCAGCTCGACCGAATGCTTATTTAGGAATACTTTTACAAATCTAAATGATAATTTTACCGTGAATATATCACAGTTAGTTGGAATCAAGTCTTTGAAAAATAAGAAGAGAGGAGTAACACCAGATGAATTCATTATATATTTTCCATTTCGATTTTCAATGCTCCGTTATTGATTATGAGTGTTTTATCACTTTTCAAAATAAGTTGGGAAGGTTGTTATGAACCTATTTCAAAACTGATCAGCTACATGCTCCCAAATCTTCGTATACTTTTTGATTTCAAAATGTGGAGAGAAACTTCAAGAGATATACCTTTAGGTATAAGTGAAATTTCTAAACATTATTCTTTGACATACTGACTTGTGTTTCAATTTCATAAGGAATGTTTTGTACAAACTGAATGGGAAAAACGATTTCCTTGCAATTCAACGTTCATATGGAAGACGGTATTTGCTTCGAGAGGACTTTTTCTTTCTTCTAATAAAATGTTCATAAGAAAGTGGTTGTCTGGAAAAGGTTTCTTTTTACAAGTTCTTATCTGAATTCAATTTGTATGAGAATGAAACCTTTATTTTGGACTTTTTTCGACAGATTCTCACATTTTTCCTATGCAAATAGAGAAGAATATAGCAAAAAAAGTTCCTGAAAACTAAATATATCCCTCTTTCAACTTCCTATACCTTTATCACTATGGAGGCATTTTGTGAAACTTCGGCTTGGTATAAACTAAAACGAATTTTTTCAATCCACCTCTTTTTATTAGATATATTAGACATACTTATTGTGCTAAGGGTGCCTAGGTAGATACCGTTGCATGAAATTGGACAATGGAGTTTTTGAAAAAATTCACCAAGTTCATTTTGGGAACAACTTATCATATGGAACTTGAGTAAAAGCTCTCAAGAGCAAGTTATCTGCTATATTTGTCAAAAGTTCCTCGAAGAATGGTGTCACCTGCCTGAAAATCTCATCTATGTTGTTGTTTATCAGTTTGTTCATCGTATCTCCTGAAATGAAACGAATATATGATCACACAATATCAACTGGAATTGGAACAATACGAAGATATGACAACTTCATTTTCTCATAGATGAATATGTGAAATGTTTTGATGTACCTAACTCATAAATTGAAGGAAATATTTTACAAACGTGATACTGCTTGAAGAATAACCCTAGATGTTATAAAAAGCTTTTATAAACTTACCTAGTTCTTTATTTCCATCGAAAAGTCCATCCAAACGTGCTGATATTCTTTGTACCCCTATTGAAATTTTCGTTTCGTGCACTCTCAGATAATCTACTCCTCTCTTTTTCACAATCTTCGCTATTTCAGTAACATTGGCATCTCCAGCACCTGGTAGTGAATGATTTGAATAGAAATTAGTTCAAAACTAATTTTCCAATGTGACATGATAGTATAAAACATGAGGAAACAATTCTACACACTCTATATTTCACTCCATAACAAAGTGTCATGTGAATTATTTGAAATAACTTATCGCATTTTACTAGACAATAAAGTTATCTCACTATATTTAGTAATAACAAGAGTATTTGGCTGTTGGGTGTTCATCTTTCACTGCCTGAACCAATGTACATGCTGTTTTTGGCGAGTGCATTAGTTTGGGATGTGGGGGTTGAGCAAACCGGACATCTGATGTCTGCTTCCACGTAGCCCCGCTGGATATGGGAATGACAGAATCACTTGTGGTCCTGTTATTCTTAAACTGAATGGCATCCCAATGATGGCTCAATCCTAAGAATGAATGACACTGAACTTATCATCTGTATCAACAAAACCTTCGTGATACCGGGCGCTTTTCGTCGTAGCATTGCCTTGTCACGGTAATGCGGGGCTCTGCCGTGATTGACCTTCTCTCCCTAGCTACTCGTGGGACTTTTATGGACAGAGTAAATTCAAAAATTATTTCTGATGCTGAGTCTACAGAGGAGATGGATGTCGAGCTTACGACTTCAACTGATCTCCCTGTAAATTTGAATCAGGAGCGAGAGTTTCTCCACTCTCTAACTCCTGATCCAATCACTGAACATAAAAAAACAGTTTGGTGGTGCAGCCAGGAAACGACTGAGTCATCTCCTCAAGAGCGGGGTACCTTATGAAGCCGCCTTGCACCAAATTCTTGAGCGGCGTACGCAGCATCTGTCTCAGGTGAAGGAAAAACCCTCCATGATCAGGTTAGCAAACGTTTGCGCTCAAGTGATGATTCACCAAAACCAGAGGCGAAAAGGCCCTGCACCGTTGAATTTAAGGCATGTCCGGTGTAGATGACTTGCAAAAACTCTCATATGGAAAGGTTGTCGAGGGTATCAAGGTGGGAATCTTGCACCTTGACTATCCCATTACCTCATTAACGATGAAACAGCAGAGCATATACTTTGTGCCTGCCCCGCTGGTGACCGAATCTGGTTTTTAGAGCTACCATCTGACCTGAAAGACCACTTACCATATAAACTAATCGGCTTCGTTAGGAAGCTGGTTTCATTTGGTCGAGTGTGAATAGGTGTGGGCCACAATAAACCCTTGCGGGTTGCGGTGGAGGGTCTAATAGACCCACTCACTTTGGATCTAACCTAACCTAACCCTTAGAATGACCCTCTAGATTACCTGATATGACATCATTAGATTATTTGTGTGAATTCGTGAACTTAAAGGTATATTTCACACAACCGCAGTATATTCAGAAGTCGTGGTCAGAATAAGACGTGCTTCTGATGAAATTACCCCAGAGAGATTCCATGATGTAAGAATGAACTTCATAAAATGGATAATTAAAATTTGAAATATTTATTGGAATGAATTGGAGTGAGTTTTGAATATAAGATTCATGAAATCACGAGTGTTATTGTTTGTTTCCAGATCCTTGAAACGAATATAAAACTGCTGATTACCGAAGAACGTCTGAAACTGAGACTAAAAAAGAATTGGAGGGATAATTGAAATACCTATCAAACGAGTTATCACAGTAACCCCTTTTCCATTTGAAATAAAATGTTGGTGGCATCTTGTCGACGAAGAGTGAAGCAACGTTATTGCCTTTCTTACCAAAAAGTACTGAAAATAATACCATTTTATGTCCGTTTCGAAATTTGGAAGGGAGGCGATTTATTTACGTCCGCACTGTAGAGAATACTGTTGCCGATAATTTGGAGAATTGAGCGATTCTATGGAAACAATTTTGGTATCACCTAAAATACAATCTATGTATGTACAGAGTGGGCCAAGTTGAACAGTTTTGAAGGGAAACTTCTGTTTTCAAACAAGATAGATGAAAACTGACGGCCGTGTCTGGGTGTCAAATTTTATGACAAACTCAATGGTGACAACCGCATATCTATATCGCATATCGTTTCTAACTTACAGCAGTTTTTCGTAAAGTTTGCGTAACTTTTTTTTCTGTCAAAAATTTCTCCTCTGTGGGAACATTTCCAAAGCACATTTTTATGTAGAATTCAATGGTGTAAAAAACTTATTTTTTCAAATGAGGTATCAATAGTTATTGATGGAAATTTATTTTTTAATGAGACACCCTGTATATTCCTGCACATTTCAATAGAACCTAAGATTACCTTTCCGAAAATGAAGCACACTTGATGTTTTGCTGAAGTCGTCTTTGAAATACAGACCTTTTAGGTTTTTTCATGTGTACCCAAATGCACACTTTTATTAAGTAAGTGGTAGCTATCAAATGTTGAGAAAGCTTTTCGTAACAGTAATTAAAACGATAAAAACGGAAAAAAAATTAAGCAACTTTTCGAAAATGCACATTTTCGACAAACATGCAACTCAGAAACGATGATAGATATCGATATGAGGTTTACACCGTATATCGATTTCATAAAATCGCATGTCATAAAAGTTGACCCCCAGATGCAGCCATCAGTTTTCATTTATCTAGTTTGCAAAAAGTTTTATTTCATAAGTGTCCAATTTGTTCCACTCTCTACTGTTGAAAGTTTAGTTCAGATTAGAAAACAAAAAAAATATATTTGCTTACTAAATACTGCTGTTAAATTTCCTGTTCCTTCTATACGAGATCCAAAAATTTTTCCTGCAATAACATAGTCTGATACTAGCTTCACTTCCTTGAAAAAGCACCTAGTAGCGAAATGCAAAGTCGGTACTTGGGATCTGTACCTGGAAAAAATATGAATCATTCATTAATATCATTTGCGACAGCTGGTTAACGGAAAAACAGATTTTAAAACAGATTTGAACTATGTAACGGATTTTCCTATGAGTGAGACGGTAATCAACATGTATATTGAACAAAATATAAATGATGACTCAGATATCAACATGAATCACACACTAATATCTCACATATCTCGCTTGACCAATATAAAATTCATCTCTCTATAGTTGAGGAAATTTCAATGTTGAATTCAGCTCAATGGAAGATCGAAACTGTGCCTCTAGTGAAAGTCTGATAACTATGTCCAGAAGAGATATATACATTAATAAATATCAAAACATTCACCTTTCTCAACGTTTCTATACAGTATGATCTACGAAAAACAACTGCTTCTTTGGCTGATATCGCTATAGACATAGTAGATGATCACATATAGCTGTGATCATCTTGCTGATGCTTTCTTTTCGTTCAGCAGTAGATCTTCGATGAAACTAATGAAGCTATCATCTAGAATTCAAGAGAGTGACTTTGAAGTATTATAATATCGAATCATGACAGCAGTTCCGTCAAGAACATTCAATGAATACTAGTCGCTAATATGAAACCTTTGAGACTAGATAGAGCCTTGTCAACTATAATGAGGTGAGTAGTAAGATTACTGGGAACAAATTCCCAGAATGGAAGAAGTATTCCGTGCACCAAAAAAACTGTATTAGCAATCAAATCGAATAAAAATCCACATTCACTTCTAACTAGTATTGGCTATATTTGTAGTTAATAAGTGAAAGAAACAATGCGATTTGTCAGTTAGCTGAAACTAGTCCCAGTTAATAAAAAAATTTAAGAAAATGAAAAACCAGGAAATTTGATTTTTTGGAACTACCACATTCTATACAATATAATCCATCAACAAATTGATATTTGTGAACTCATGATCGAGATACTGGAGACTCTAACTCAAGATCTCCACCAACTGAATATATTATTTGATTCATAAAACAACGATCAAAATAAAATAAAAACAGCAATAAAAATTAATTGGCGCTCCGGGGCGACTTCATTGATTCCAGTGGCGCATTTGCTTTTTCAGCTGCAGGAAAACCCGGAAAAACCTGCAGCACCACATCATCTGAAGATCTTGATCTGAATATATTGTCAAGAATTCTATGAAATCAAATATTACCAAAACTCTTGGAGATTTATCTGATTTCCAGATGATGAAATTAGTTCGTTACTTAACCAGGTTATTGATTTTTATCAAAAAACTATCTAGGGCTTCCTTCGCATGTTTTTTATCAAAAGAAATCAAGTAAATGCAAATTTTTTAAAGAAACGAATGAGTCGACAAGATAACCGATTTAGTCATCTTTGACTTTTTTGTGGAGGAGTTGTTTATAATTATGATTACACTGACTCGTTACTGATCCGTTATCGAGTCGTAGCTCATCAGTAGTACTCCATTACTATTCATAACACTGCTGCTTCATTGGTAGTAGTGGAGTACTACCGATGAAGCTACGGTGTTAGCGAAACGCGTCTAGAATGAACATTTTATTCATGAAAATTGCTCAGTTATTATCACGGATTAAGTTATTTATGAGACTGTGCGAGATTTTTTGAAGACATGTAGACTACCATGAATAGGAAACTCGGAAAAATATTTATTATAATCATATGAAATATCCTTGAACTGGTATACAATGAAAAACAGTTTGAGCATTTCCTATAATGCTCTTTACTGATGGTCATAACCTAAAGATGATTGCGAATACCAACAATCGAAATGTCCTGGAGGATGAAAAAGTTACTATATAAATTTTCATTCAACTGGTACCTTGTTATTCTCAAGGGCAGACTTCAAAGTTTCGGATCAAGAATTTTCTCTTATTGCCTCATCAGCACCAATCTGGATAATATAACAATATGAGGCATTCATTTGATTCAAAACAATACGACTTCATGTCACGGATGGGTTGAATCTATCATGTGATAATGACAGTACGTAATGTCATTTATACGCTCATTCCCAGCCATAGGAATCTTGCTCAAATTGAAAAGGGTATATTTTTAGGAGATACCAGTTTTTGGGAAATGACGGTTACGGCTTTATACTTTTCCATCCATATACAGAAACTGTTTACAAAGATGTGTGGATCATGCATCCTATAACTTTCAGAATATTTGGTTTGATAGTATTTCCAAACTGTCACTCTTATATGTTGAATGATTCATTACCTTTAAATTATTCAATACCTTTTTCATAAAATTAAAGTCTGAATCCCTAGTATTCACGGATTTATGTGATGATTATCAGACCAATGACCACTTATGAAGAAATTGCCTGGTGGCCAAAGGCTTTACAGAAAACGGCTTAGGTAAAGCTCTCTGGCTTGTGTGGTCATCTGTGTTGCCATCGGTAACACACCGTCAAAGGCCATGGAGATCCTTCTAAATCTACTTCCTCTCCATATAATTCTGGAGAGAAAGTTTAGATGGACTGCATATAGACTTGTGTACATTGCCGATGGCACAAATCAATCTAATGTAGAGTAAAATAGACTGCTGATTGACACTTGATGTCACAGTATCCTGGGAACAATTCCCAGCATTCTGTGACTTCAAGAGAATTACTCTCTTTGATTTTATGCCTTCAACTGAAAACTAAGAACTACCTCATACAGAACTGTTTCCGAATAAAATGGAATGGATCCTCTGGGAGACGGGAATATTGAGACCAGATAGTATTCACAGATGAATCAAACAAATATCCAGGTTCTGGTGCAGGTGTTTTCAGTTGCAGACCCAGGGCAGAGATTTCAAACTGCTTAGAGACCAGTGCGACTGTATGTTTTCAAGCGGAAATCTATGCTACTGAACTATGTGCGGAAAGATTGGTAGAATCCAACCTCATACACAAGTCAATAAAAGTAACGGACAGTCAAGCGGCGTTGGAAGCTCTTGACTCCTACCGAGCAACGTCTAAATTGGTAGCAAATTGTCAAAAACGACTATCCTCAGTCGGTAATTGTCTCTGGTCTGAATTACTGGCCATACTAGCCTGGAAGGCAATGGTGCTGCTGGCTCCCTAGCAAAGAAGGGTGCTGTGAGCAGCTTCATCGAACCAGAACCTTTCATCGGCATTGTCTCAGGCTTTGCCAAGACAACATTGAACACCCGGATGGGTTCACTCCAAGGATGGTTCACTCCAAGGCGTTCATTCACCCTTCGAAGCTTGAAATCAAATAGTTGTTGAACTACCGTAGGGATGAACTACGATGTCTTACAGGCCTTCTCACAGGTCACTGTTGTCTGAATCATCACGGGCAGAGACTCGGGCTGTCGAATGACAGTGTGTATTGCCTTTGTTTGGAAAATGACGAAACAGCAGAGCTCATACTTTGTGCCTGTCCCGTTGCGGACCGAATCAGGTTTTCAGAGTTTGGCAGAGCCGCACTTCTACTATATGGCCTGAAAGATTACTCACCATATAAACTAATCGGCTTCGTTGAGAAGCTGGATTCATTTGGTCGAGTGTGAATAGGTGTGAGCCACAATAAATCCTTGCAGATTGCGGTGGAGGATCGAATAGATCCACTCACTTTTGACCTAACCTCACCTAACTCTAGTATTCAATCAGAAATATTGTCAACCATATTCATACAAGAAGTGATACATTTGCGAATCATTAAGATTTGGGATTCTAAAGTAGGGATATATTGTATGAAAGAGTAATATTTGAAACCAACAACAAGTACCTTCATAAATAGAAATCTGCTGGTTTTGTAATTGAATCTAGATATATCTAATCAGAAATTAGGAATTAAAAACATAGAAAATCAAAATCATAGTTATTATTAACCCCTTGAACATTTTTGGTACATGACCTAAAATTTGTTCTTGAAATCTGAACTCGAAGTGTTTTTCATCATCCAATGAACGCGATGATTGTCAACTAAAAAGTTATTTTTGGCTATGAAAAATTATTGGTATGTGGTTCATTAATTATATTATTGAAGGAGTATATAAATATGTAAACATTAAAGGGTTCAGTTGTTTTTTGAGTTTTTCATATTTACTTCGATTACTTGTACTCATCAGCAAAGAATCAGAAATTCTTGAGAGATTTTCCAACAAAATTCAGTCATCTCCAAAACTATTTCTCTTCACAGATAATGAACGAATCGTGAATCCTAGGAAAAATGAACTTACTCGAATCTGGGGCAGGCATAATTCGTGAAACCATACACAAACGCATTGGTCAGGTTAGCTTTAAAACTGAGTGCTTGTGTTTCTTGATCCATGTTCACACTCTCGACGTACAAAGGATCAAACGGTGGTAAATTAATCTCTGGTATACCCTTCACAAGAAATGGTCGCGCTTTTTCCATAGCCTGGAGGATGCACTTGCTGAGGTTTTCATCTGATCTACGACAACGCGGAAAGTTTGTCGCTGAAAAAATAAAATTATACTTACTACTCACTTGCTACTATTTACCATCATTCAATTTCATAATATTGAATTCTTTATCTTGTATTTGACCTCAATATTGACTACAGTGATACAAATATGAAACCTGGGTTGTAAGACACGTTTATAAATCGATTTTTCTTTGTCCCAGTGCGTCAAATCAGAGCTAGTGTGCAGGTAAGAAAATAACTTTTTCAGGCTCAGTAAGAAGGGATCAAGGAACTATGGTCGACAGACTCGTGGTTAGCACATTTCCTTCAAACAGCCAGACACAAAAATTTTCTCCTCAAGTCTTAGGTTCTGAAAGGTTCAAATGGGAACATAAATATTCACTGAGAAGCCTGAACAAATTTCAGTAGAAATTGATGACAAATTGACGACAATGAAAAAATGCCAATGTATTGATCTAAACTCTGGATATTTAAGGTTGAATTTTTTCAACATTGTGGATGATTATGTCGGTAAGTTCGAATGTATATATTTCATCAGTTCGGACTTCCATTGTCTAATATAATATGAAAAAAAAAAGATTAACCGAAAATAACAATTTTATTGAACAAAAAACTGAAATTACAAAGAAATAAGATACAAGCAATAACGAAAATAATGAAAAATTGAAATATTACTAAAAGCTGAGAATCAAAAAATAATTATTAACAAGAATTAAATGAAAAATGAAAATTAAAAGATTCCAAACCAAGTAACGTCACGACGTTTCGATTGTTAGTATCCACAATCGCCTTCGGGTGTTCAGTTATTACGCAAATTGATAATATTCAATATTTTTTAATTTTTTAATTTTCAGCTTTTATTAATATTTCTTTTTTATTTTTTGGATGTTGCTTGTATGTTATTTCTTTGTAATTTACGCTTAATCCTTTTCAATTTTCTTTTTCAGGGATTTCAAATCAATTTATATTATATCAGAAAATGGAAGTCAGAACTGATGAAATACACCACGGAACATTGTCAACCACCTTCAAAAATTCGAATGTATTATATTCTAGTCACTCCTCGAAAACCTTCGATTACGTTTAGGATTCATCTCTCCCCATAACACAAGTAAATATGATCTGAAATCAATACAATATTTGCAATTTTTTCACAAAAGTCAAGACTTCAGTTGGAAACAACAAATTACGCATTCGAAATGCGAAGAAAGAAGGGAATTTACGAAATCTCTATCAATCCATGAGGCTCTCTAAATTTTCGTTATACATTTCAAGAAATTTTTTTCAACAGGAAGGTTCGAAAGAAAATTTAATGTTGTTATCGACTAACCACTGAAAGATTTATGAATGACTAATTATGAATTAGATCCTTGCCATCATAATATTGATACGCTGTCTAAGCACAGAGCTTACAATGGAAATTACGCTGTGAACAATTCAGGTGTGTCACCAATTTCACTAAAATCTGCTATAATTACGAAGGTGTATGTCCTCTTTCATAAAAATGAAGAAACAAAAGACTTTTATTGTTATTGACGTATGATTTGGATTTGTAATGAGAGGTTTATTCTCAATGTCAAATTGCATAAAACTAATATGAAATTTGAATTACTGATAGGTCAATATAATATGACGCATATGAACGTAAACTACAGTTATTGATGAAATACTGGTGAAGATAGATACATGTTTTTTTGAGGAAATAACCAAAAAACTTCAGGAAAAACCTAACGTTCCTGAAATCGGTGCATGAAAGAAAATGGCGCTCAACTTGCATACTTCGAATTCCATCTAGTAACTATATGGGATACAAAGACAGTTCACCCACAGATCTAGATAATCTGACAAAGTTTGTGCTGATATTTGCCGCAGAGAGAATTCTTATCTTTTGTAAGTGGCGTTTTTCCACTCCGAAGTAAATATACGTTTCTTCGGCATCCAGATTGTGCAGATGGTACATCTTCTCCGTAATCCCTTCTGAGAAGGAATTTTGCACATTTGTCTATCCCGAATTCCATACCGATAGCATATGTATACTCCTCTGAAGGTCTGATGGATATCATTTCTGCATATGCATAACATTTGACGTCAGGTTTCCGGGGGTGCCACAGTATCCTCGATTATTTCTCAGTCAATGGTGAGATGCTGAAGAAAAAGAGACTGAGGAAATGAAATACACTTCTTCTGGAAGTGAACCGCTCTGGATTCTAGCTTGACCAGATGTTATGGTGAAGCGAGTCCGCCAGAGTATCAGTTGTTTAAGGCATCTCACTATTTTGGCGGGTACCACAAGGCATCTTTGAAGATCCGAATGAGCTCATGCGATGTTATATCGAATGCCCCGTAGAGTTCATTCAGACCACAAAAAGATTTCTTGATACTCTATCGAGTCCTATATGACCTATTTCAATTTAAACAGGAAGTTGAACTTTTTTGAACCGTGTCGTGGAAAAACTTGTCACTGAAAAAACATATTCAACGAAAGTCATTTTTTGTGGAGGAAAAATCAGTTTTCTATCGACCTTTTTTGGGTATTTGTTACCTTCCACAATCTGAAAAATATAAAAATTATAATGGAAAACTTTATACAAGTGTGAAGGGCAAACTTTTTAGTTTACCCCGATAGGTTACTGCGTAAAAATCAAAGTATTTTTCACAAAGAAACATCTTCTATTTATCAGTTACCTGTCGTATTTAACAATTTTGCCTATCAAGAAAAAAGGATGGTCCCAAAGTTTGGTGGAGATACGTTGACAATATATTTGCTGTTTGGAATAGAAACCATGATGACCTGAATGCTTTTTTGAATTATATCAACGAGCGGGAGTCGACAATAAAGTTCACAATAGAGATTGAACAAGATGGTCGACTCCCTTTCCTTGATGTAATGTTAGAGAAGTTATTAGATCAATTTGATAAAAATGTTAATAGGAAGAAAACACATACAAATAGATATCTTTATTATACATCAAATCATCATGCGAGTGTTAAAAAAGGTATAATAAATTGCCTTTACGAAAGAGCTAAAGCGATATGCAATTCAACTGAAAATCTCAATAAAGAAATATCATTGATTAAATCTGTTTTGAAAGATAACGCTCATCCAGATTCGTTCATAAATTCAACGATAAATGCAATGGAAAATAAAAAGTCAATTAAAAACCAAACGAACATACAAACAGCTTCACAAATTCAACAACATCCAACTGAACAATTACCGATTCAACATCCACCGACACCTTTCACAACTAACGTTATACCTTACATTCCAAGACTATCTGAAAAAAATAAGACCAATTGGAAATAGGTATGATGTTAGGACTACTTTCAAAACAAAAAATACACTGAGATCTATACTCATACATACAAAACCCAACAACACTGAAGAAAAAACAAAAAATTGTATTTATAAAATACCTTGTTCTTGTGGTAAAAGTTACATTGGTGAAACCTCGAGACCATTGAAAGTGCGTGAGAATGAACATCGAGATTACATAAAAAATAGACAATTGACAGGATCAAAATTATCAGATCACATTTTAAAATCAGACGGTGAACATCGGGTGGAATGGAATAGGACAAGAATGATAACCAATGAGCCTTATTCTAAGAGATGTAAGCTAAAAGAATCAGGGTACATTCTCATGTCTGGAGAGAATTGTATCACGAATAGCTCCTTAGAAATAGACCGTACTTGGCTACCCATCTTGAAGAAAACTTTGGATAGTGGCGAAATGGCAACAGACTGATATCGGAGAGTACCTTGTATTACATTGAATGTTTCAGTTGTGAATCAACAACATTGACATAATTTTATATATCAAAACTTCTTTGACATCTGTCGAAGAAGTAAAGAAATAAACTATCAAAAAAGAATAACTGCGAATCCATTTATGAAGACGGAGGCAGATTTTGGCCTTCGAAACGTAAAAGATAAGTATTATTTCTTAACAATTTTTTTTGATTGGCAAAATTGTTAAATACGACAGGTTACTGATGAATAGAAGATTTTTCTTTGTGAAAAATACTTTGATTTTTACGCAGTAACTTATTGGGGTAAACTAAAAAGTTTGCTCTTCTCAACTTGTATGAAGTTCTCCATTATAATTTTTATATTTTTCAGATTATGGAAGGTTACAAATACCCAAAAAAGGTCGATGAAAAAACATATGTATCATCTTACGAAATGATTTATATCGCATTTTTCAATAAACCTCAATTGTGACTAATTTTTGTTTCACACTGAATCTGTTCTTGGCTATGTTCAAAGAACTAGAAGAGTAATAAATCAGCTGTAGACAATATAAAGAAAGAAATATCTTGTTGTCAGTTATAAATTTTGAATACACTGACCAATAACTTGATGATCATCAATAACACTATCCATGATAGTTCATTAGTAGGTTCCTCAGTTGGACTGGTACCCTACGCTACTTTATAATGCAATATATACAAATTATTGACTTCAATCAATAGAAAGTAGTCAGCATGTACAAAGCAAGTGAAAATTATTGTTATTAATGATTCGACCAAATCTGGATTTTTTTTCCTGAAAATAAATTCAAAAGTGGTGAAAATTCTTGTTGGTCGTTCAATGGAAAATTCGTTCAAATTTAATAATATTCAGCGATTCTAACAGGTGTACTATTTGTATATAGTACGTCGTAGTACCTATGTACGCCATCTATTAGAAAACTACCACGAATTCGAAATAAACTACGACGTGCTACATAAAGAAAATTAAAATTAAAACCTGCAGAAATCTCTGGGGATTCATAAACGTAAGCAATCAGATTTTCTATTGACCAACCAACAAGAAGTTGATCTTTCACCTCTCTCAAATTTATTTTCATGGAAAATCTTTAAGACTTAGACGAATCAACTCAAATATTTTCTAAAATGACTGAAGATATTTCTTGAATGAGCAATATAAAAAACTTCAATAATTATCATCAACACTACTCTCAAAAATATCATGCAGGAAATCGAATACCTAGTGCATTGAAATTTCTTGCACTTTCACTCGGTACCTAAGTCAAGAATCTTTCGAAAAATTTCATAATGAATTCTTTTATGTTATGTTTGGTGTTTGTTATCTCAAGTTTTCTCTGCATATGAATAACATGGTTTTATGAATAACATAAAATTAAATTCTATGAAAAAGGGTTGATGTAGATATGCAAAGTAATTTAAATGGTTTTGAAATTATCTATACTACTATCGATACTCACGTAAATCTTTTCTTCCGTATATTTCCGTCAGAGTGACCAATAAACAGAAAAGTAAAACAACACCCATCCTGACGATCCTATATAACTTTTGCGTAGAACTAATGTTCACAAATGAAGTGAAATCAGTATAATTGTGCAAACTGGAGCCTTCCTTCTTATAATATTTGAACATTTTTTTTCTTTTCTATAAGAAGATTTTTTCGGTTAGTACGATGAAATTATACATTTCGAAGAAAAAATTGCAAGTAGAACACATCCAGTGTTCAAAATCAAATGGAAGTATCATATTCAGGTTACACTTGATTGTAAGAATTTCACCAAACAGTATACAAAACCCAAACACGTATTTCACTATACGATAGCATCTTCAGGCCAGTTCATATCAACCAAATTCTTTCTTTTTTGTTTCGTTTCTGATATGAAAATAACCATTTTCACCGTTTTCATGAACTTTGAGTCCTATTTCAGTTGGTGGTTTCCATTTTTGTCGATATGCTTATCAATATCTCAATACTGTCTGTTATTCTGTAAGTTTTTTCGGTATCAGTTATTTTGGTTATTCTACTGATGCTGGTTGGACACAAAAAAACATCATTTACGTTTTCTATTCCCCCTCATAATCCATCTTGGTCCCCTTTTCTCTAGTCCAAATATTTTTCCTTCGAAACAATACAAATGTCATTAGGTTGAATAATTTTCTAGCCTCTCAATACTGAGATATTCAGCTGAGCGCTTCAGGACATTCCTACCAGATGAGGTGTTACCTATGAAGGGAGGAATCCTCAAAACTGATGCATTATTCTAAGATGTGTTTATGCGAGCCAAAACGATACAGACTCTTAATCTACCCAAAATAAATCATACCGGGCCCCCTCTCATCATATGAATCCTTATTGCGATAATACAGAGACCTTCATTCCGTAGCTACTCGTGGTACCCTTATGAACCAAGCAGTAACTTAAAAATCCGAACCTGAGTCTATGGAAGAGATGAGAGTCGACTGAACGACCTTAACTGTTCTTCAAATGACCCCAACTATACTCACTGTAACATAAGATCGAGAATAGAAAGAGGACAACTCTTGAACAAACCTAGGAAGCTACTTGGTGTAGCCAGAAAGCAGAATATTGCCTCCTCAGGAAGAGGATGTCTTATGAATATGCCTTGCACCAATTTCTTGAGCATCAAAAGTCGAATCTGCAACAGGAGATGAAATAAGCTCCCACTGAGCAGATCCTGCGAAGTTTATGCTCAAACGATGATTTACTCAAACCAGAAGCAAACATTTGTTTGAAGGTGGTTGACAATGTTTCTTGATGAATTTCATCAGTTCGAACTTCCATTGTCTAAAGAAGTAAACATACCTGCATGGCTCAATCGAATGTATCATCAGGAATAGTTGACGTACAGGTCAAGGTTTGCTGTGGACAACAAGGTGGAAACTTTGTACCTTGAACTTTCGACAACAGCAATAAGGTACGATAACAGGGTTGCACATGCTAGCCCTGATGGTTACAGGCTACCTGAAAAAATCAGGAAGTCACCAAATGGTGACTCGAATTCGTTTGGTCCAGCTAATGAATATACTCGAGCCACAATGAACCTGCGCGATTTGCAGTGGATGTTTAAATAGACCCACTCATTTTAGACCTATTTACCTGTGTGTGTCTAATTTTTCTGTAGTAACAGTTCAGAACCGGTTAATCAATAATCATTAAATGGAATGCATATATCTTGTATATTTTAGGTATTTTCACATGATGAAAAAATGTAATCTAAGATCGGAAAGTCGAGTACAAATAACAAGATGAACATTTCATTTCAATAAAACATGAAATGTCCATTGCACAATACACCTTTATGGAACGTTTATTATTGTTTTCAGACTTTCGTACGGTTATCTTCTCAAAATATTCAAGAAATGATACCAGTTAAATGAGAATAGTCGAGTCACAAGTATCGGCTAATGACTGGAAACTGAAAATCACAATGTGTTCCGTAGTTGAACGAAATTACTCTCATCACTGAGTTCCAATAAAACTATTCTCAGTTTGCTTTTCATCATTTAGTTATTTTTTTGTCATTCAGGGTATCAACTACCATGGTCATCAGCTTACTCTATTGTTGAAATCTCGACTATCATTTATAGCACCTCTCCCCAGTGAACACAGGATATCCGTTGGACTTTTGGACATGGGCATTGAGAGGACGTCCGATGGATAATCTTGAACTTCTAGGTACTTGAAACAGAAGATTATCCATGAGAAGACCATTATCAATTCATATAAAATTGACTTGAAATGGACAATTAGTTGATGTCTTTCATTATTCATTCACTCATTCCCTACAGGTTTTCAAAATAGGTAACGTTTTTATTACTTTTTCAAAATAAAAAGTTAAAAATAAGTAAGTAGTATGGATTCATCTATTAGTCGCTTTGTATTGGATGAAAAAGCTATTCATCAGACATTTTCTGTTGAATTCAAAATCCCGTCTCTTATAATAATAATACGTCAATGACAAATGACAAGTGAAGGAGGTCAGTTGATTGTTATATAATAAATCATGAAAAAATCGTGATGTGAAATGATATGCAAAAATGAAGAATGTATATAATTTCAAATCGAAAGAGGTATACTTTCAGAAGAGAAAAAGCTTTCTGTCTTCCTCTTCTCTGTCTTCATGAAAATTACAGAAAATTTCCAGAGGAAGGAAGAGAGCAATCAAGTTCAAAATAAACTTTCAACGAAAATGTGTAAACCATACTTGAATGTTACTTTCAGATGCACCCTGGAAGAAAGAAAATTACTTCGTTTGTACCTCAAACATTCCCTATGGATCTGAATCAGATATCATTCATATACCCTTTTCAGTTCAAACGAGAGTCCCATGGCTGGGATTGAATCAAATAAGCGAATTAATGTCATTATATACTGTAATCTTGATATGAGTAGATGTGACTGCGTTTCCAAGAAATGAATTTACCGGATACCCTGTGAGTGTGGCAAATCCTATATTGATGAAACTAAGGCACCTTCAAAAATCCGCATTGTCGAGCACAGGAAAAACATAAAGAGAGGAGAAACCAGCAAATCGGAAATAGCAGAGCATGCTTAGACGCATCAAGCGGGTAAAACTCCCGCTAAACCGGTGAAGCGATAAGAGGAAAGCGAGGAGAGGAGAGAGCGCTGGGTTATCTATAAATAGTCACCTCCCGGAGAAATAGTCCTTCATCGGTTATAGAATTGAAACAGAAACATTTATATAAACACTACGACGAACAAACAGAAACGTTTCTTTAATCTTGGATTGTGTTTTAGCAAAATAGAAGTCGATAACTCAATTTGATATCCTTACTATGCAACCCAGGTTACCCAAATAGTATGTGTGCAGGAAAATAACCAAAAAACGTTTACACTTGTTTTGTTACTCAATGACATTACCTATCACATAAAGTTTTCTAATTTATTCTATACGAATAAATTACACATATCTCGCATATCAATCTTTCTGCTAGTGGGTATGAAGTTTCGTTTAATTATTGTCACCAACATGAATATCGCTATTTTCAGGTAGAGTTCATATACTATTTTTTTAGGAAGATAGGCAACGCCTTCATTTACTGGACACATCTGAGCTAACTTCCATCCTATCTGTGAACGAATATGTCCAAATGCCAGTACTCTTGTATGCTCCTAAAAATTTTGTATAATAATTTCATTTCGTAGTGCGAAACCTAATATGTAGCTCGATATATGCTGTTTGAGAAACAACTCACTTGGAGATAGACATAACGCAAGTGTAACCGTCATCCACTTAATGCAGAGTAACAAATAAACAATAAACTCTCAGCGAGAACCTCTGTCACTCGAAGTACTGCAAAGTTCAGTTCTAGTGCATGTGATATTTCGATATATAGATACAGTTAACAGTTTTGTTCCTGATGCTGATGCATGCTTTCACCATTTTCAAATCGTTGATTTTCCAGTAACTACTGTATTCGATTCAATTAAAAAATCCCTTGACCCACCTAATTTGTGGGTATCACCATCAATTGAAACTTGAATTTCGAAGCACATTGTAATGGACTTATTCCAAAATTGCATTCTTAATGGGTTGGGCTTCGTAATATTGGCTATATTCCCAGTTTAGATCAACTACGAAGTATTCACCAGGCTGAGGTGGAATGGAGATTGGTCAATGGTTTTCTGGGGTTGGTCAACGAATGCAGATGAAGTTTGTTGGTTTAAAAAAAATCATCAAAAACATTACTGGTATAAGCTACTCTGAGTCTTGTGGACCTTTCTTCGGAAAATTTGAGATACTGACATCACTTCGTCTGTACATGATGGAAATTCATATGTATGTTTCAAAAAATTGATTTCGATATTACTTTTGCGAGCTCTTCTCATACAATTGATACCAAACAAAAAAAATATTTCAGATAGTTTGCAAAGTTTCCAAGGTTGTGAGTTTTCGTTTGTTTGATGTTTCACCATCGGAAATAAAGGAAAGCAAATCATTGAGGAAATTCCAAACAAAACTTGAAATTATTCAACTCTCAAATTGCTTTATAACTGATTATTCAACATGAGTCTGTGCATATGCGTCCGTGCATTCGTACGAGTATAATAGCTTGTATTTTTCATTTTGTAATATTCAGTTTTGGGATCTACTCACTATTCCTATTACAATTATTTCACACAAATGTCAAATTGAAAAATTTAGAATTTGATTTGATTTGATTTGATGTTCATTATGATGTTCATTACAATAAGTTTGGACTGTCATCGAAAAGCACAAATTACGCCAATTATCAAAAGTAAATGAAAGAACAGTATTGGATTGAACAAAGTTCCAAAGTAGAGTATTACAAACATAAGATAATCTAATATATAAAATTCTCGTATCACAGTGTTAGTTGCCATACTCATCGGGAACGATTCTTATGAAATTTCATATGGTTATTTGGTAGGTCTGAGAATAGGTTCAAATCTGTTTTTCCTACCCCTAAGTGATACAAGGTGCTCCCCCAAAACATTTTTTTAAATTTTTTGTCTTCCTAAAAGGAAGGTAACGCGTCGCTAGAAACCAGTCCCTCCACTTCGCGTCGCTAGAAACCA